GTAGTAGTAGTCGTAGTAGTAGGCAGCGCACGAGAATCCTGTCCTCGTCTTCGTGACACCCATGCAATAGAAAAAGGCAGCGCATGGGCTGTTTCAGCTGTCTGAATAATAGCAAGAAGTACGATTCCTTCGGTTCCCCAAAGGTACTTCTAAGCTAGAGACCCCAAAACCCTGGTTTTGTTTTGTGGTTTCTATATCAGCCACCGCAGCCCCTGCTCCGGCCTATCTAACCCGTCAGGCTGCAAAGCAGAAGTGGCTCCGAGGCGATGTCGCAGCAGCTCGCCGGACCGGATGTGGGCTTTGGTCAAACATCACTGCTTGTCACGGAAACAGAGCCCAGCGACTCTTGTGTGCGTTGGTTAAAGCAGGAAGTATTCCTTCCTTGAGGATCCATGTAAAGAAAAGACCTCAAGTGGGGATTGTAGAGTCTCTCGGAAACTGGCTCAGGCTGTTTTGTCTGGTGAGCGGGGAGGGGGGCGAAACGGGGTTGTCAACATCGCTCTTCCCTCAGCGATCAGGTCCAGCAAATGGATTGTTGCACATGATGGTCCGCAGATTCGCAAGCAATAAAAACTGGACATCACGGTTCTACTCTTTCTGCTCTGTTCCAGATGCTACGCCATTGCCACGACAACGACGACCACCCGGAATCCTCTTACTGCCGCACCAACACCACCACCAGCAATGCAGATCACGAAATCCTGAATCCAACGAGGCAGCTGAACAAGCCTTTAGAGACCCTCACGCATGCCTGCAGGATTCTGGCCGAAGCGTTCAGCCACTCTAAAGAGTCCGAGGCCACTGGTGCTCTGATAGCGATTTTTTCTAGGAGGAAGACGTTCGCAGACTTATGATATGTTGCAAAGACAACTATGTTGCGACAGAAGCTCAGCAAGACGCGGTGTATGTTCCAAATTCGGCATCCCAAAGCATACCTATTAGTAAGGTAGACGATAGCAAGACTTACGAATCGAGACCCACAGGAGCTTTCTTTCCAGTGTTCTTCGCATGAAGCGATCTTTGCTGTTGAAGTCCGCCTTTGGCATCGTGCCGCCGTGCCCTAAACCATCGAAACCGGGAGGCCATTCACTTGGCAGCCGCCGGCATCCCAGCAGTGGTATATTCTACTATATTTATAATAAGGAGCCCTCCAAATACTACAGGTGATTATTTAGGCCCCTATGTTAGCCCTAAAGGGCAAGGGCCTCGGGGTGACGGCAAGCTGTGGCTGAACAGACATCTGTGCGGTCTGTCACGAAGGGGTCCTTCCTGGCATTCCGGTTGCGGTTCGGTAGTTGTTCGGCGTTTGTAGCGCGACACACTTTAAAAAAAAATTAAACTATACCCTAAGCCCTAAAAGTCCCGACGTTTTCGCACAAAGGTGAAGCTGGAGAGCGAGAACAACGAGATTCAGCGATCTCGTCTGCTGCTCGCACGAGCCGGAGCCCCAGCGTTGAGAGGGGAGACGGCCGCAAACAGAGGCACGGGGTAAGGTCCAAATCTCACGGATCCAGGCTTTTGGGCGTCATGGGGTTTAGGGCTCCAAGCTTGGGGTTTTAAGATTCACGCCTCGTGACTTCCCCGACTTGCGCCCAATGCAGGTTCTAGCGAATGTCCTATTATCGCCAGTTTCTGCAACAAGACAGTGCAGAGCTTTTTTCGTTTGACCGCCGCCCGGAAGTGATGGAGAGACAGCTTGTTGTGCAGCACATGACCCTGCAGGCACGGCAGCAGTGCAACACGCCCAAGGCACGACATTGGTTGACAATGATAATTTCCGAATAATCATAGCCGACATTGGTTGACAATGATAATATATTAAGAACCATAGCTAGAACCAGCATACTGCCTAATGCTGAAGAGTTACATAATCATCTGTGCATCTCCAATGTTTATGTCTTCTGTTGATGAGCTCTGCAGACAGCCTGTAGCTGTGGTGTGTCCTGCAACGCCTGCAGGTCTGGATGCAGTCTGTGCAGCTGGAGAGAGAGCAGGGCCTCTACCAGCAGGCCTGTCGAGCAGGACGTACTCTTAGGACTCATGCAAAAGCAGGGATACTAGTCTTAGTAAGGGATAGCGAGCTCCGAGGTTTGGGTGCAAGATTCCAAGATCCAATCACCTGCAGTGAAGCTGAAACTGCACACCGCCACGACACCGGGCAGTCGCGATACCTCGAAGGGCTGCAGACCTTGGCACATAGAGAAGACATTTCAGTTGGTGCTTTGGGCACCATACCCCGACACCAAACAGAGGGACTCAATCCCTGGTTCCCGGCATCGGGTGGCACGGCGCAGGCATTGCACTTGTCGGAGGAGGGCCTCAAGGACTGATAGCTGCGCGCGTTGGTAGGTAGTCATGACTTGGCGTCTGCTTTACAGTGTTCAGGTTGAGTGGAGCACTGGGACACCTCTCTGCATGTCCGAGTGAGGAGCACCCTTCCTTTGCCAAACTTTGGATGATTGGCGGGCAGATTCACATGGAGAAGCAGATGCCCCAGGGATGCATGCACGAGTAGGGCAAGGACCGTCCAAATGATCACACCCATGACCTATGGTCCTACTGACCGTCATGATGACCATGGCACCGATAATATTTTATCGCTGATGCCGCTCGTGCTGATGCTGACGATGCTGCTAGAGCTAGAGCTTGTGACTGTGACGACCTTATTGACTGTGCTGATGCCTGTGGCAGAGGAAATGGTATCGAGAAGATGACGACGAAGAGTACGACTATGATGATGGCGATGATGATAATGATGATGATGGTGGTGATGGTGATGAAGATTGGTGACGATGAAGATTATGACGATGAATATGATGACGATGATGGTGATGGTGATGGTGAATAGGTGATGGTGACGATCATGATGATGATGATGATGATCGTCAGGATAATCAAACAATGTCGGTGATTCTGTTGGAGGCAGCGGTGTGATGATCATGTTTGTCATGGCCGACGAACATGAACACAGTCACATGAATGTAGACTTGTCTACGACGACTGCGCAGACGAGGACGATTACTGGTGTCACTAGCACCGTATGACAGGTCTGACTACTCGTACCTGAGTGTCTGCATTGAACCAACTTCTTCAAATCGCTTTTAAACACGGCCCGCAGAGACATGAAGAGCTGAGAAAGAGGCGTTCAGAATCAGCTAAACATAAGAGATGCTGGCAAAGGTCGCCGCCCGAGCTCCTCGAGGCAGGCCTTGTGTTAGGTGCAGGGCGGGGTAGGGCGCTGTCGGGGTTTCGGATTACTGAGAGGATCTGTGGGAGACTAAGATGTGAGTTTCTCGTTGATTTGGGGTTTCAAGGTTTGGCTCACTGGGAGATCATCATTATGCCCGAAGTGGGGTCTTTCCGAATTCCGTCCCCTGTTATGAACCTTGCCAGCTGAGTCCTTAAGTATAGCGGTCACAAGCGAGTCAGTGAGGTCTCGAAGTCGAACGTCAAGTAGCGTTTCATCATAAGCAAAATGCAGAGGTGCGGTACAGTAGTAGATAGAACTCGGCATAGGGCTTAAGGCCAGCGTCAATGCCAACAACAGTTGAGAAATCGTCTTTAGGTTCTTCTGTACCGTACGTTTGGATGGGGCGGTGATCGCGAAGCGAGGCCACCAAGTTCTTCGAGCGTGGGCTGCTGAAGTGCCCACGCACGGAGCTTGGTTTTGTTTCTCGGGTTTAGTGTTCAGGGTTGCGGGGGCAGTTGGGGCATGATTCAAAGACATGGTCTACAGAGTACAGAGCTCTTTAAGAAAGCGGGCTACATACTGCTGTGCACATGCTTCTGGCTTAGGCAGTGTGCCTCTTTGGCTTTGCGCCGTGGAATGCGAGCAGCATCCTCAGACGCACCACGAGCTTGTTCTCGATAGGGCTTCCTTCCTCATCAACAACACTGCGAGAAGCCGAATCCCTGCAAAGCCGCGCTAGTTCAGAGCCCTGAATCTCGCATGCTGGACTTAGCCTAGACTCTAGACACTAAACGCCTACCCGTGAGCATATCAGTCAGACATACGTCTACCCTGCCGTCCGTACTCTGAGTTCCAGATACCCTTCTGTCCCGCAGCGGTTTAGAGTTCATGGTTTCTGTAGCGGCATCAGAACCGGGATGTTCTGCAGAGCCTGTCAAAACTTCTTCATTCGAAGTTCTGGAGCCTTTTCGATATAACCTTTTGCTTCGCAAATGCTGCGGACTGGTTCAGAATTCCGACAACGAAGGGTCATTGCGGAGTCTGATCCCGGGTATCTGACGTTACTTTTCTTACTTTCGGCTTTCGGAAATCCCAGGTAGCTTCTGAAGTAAGTATTCTGGTCATTAGTGCCGCTAGTGTCGATTTGGTTGACAGACTGTTCTGCCCCTCTGCCCCTCTGCCCGATGCCCGTAAACGTGCTTGAAGTCGAGCCCCTTATTGAAGCTCGTTGAACTCGGAGTTTTCTGGACTGCAGGTGGCAGCCGCCGGTGTTTCCGTGAACTGTCACCAAAGAACCGCAAGTTCTTAGATCTAGGGGGTTGGCTCGTGTACATCCACGGGGCTTAAGAGACCACATCCGAACCGAGTATCAGAGTTTAAGACCCCTAACGCGAAATTTGCATCTGGATTCTGTTGTGGCACTAAGGATCAAGCAGCAGAAGTACACCAAGGCAGTCTCTTCCATGGATTGCGGATTGCTTGAACTGCGCTGCCCATCCATCTTTGATAAGCCCTCCATACCCCGTATGGTTCAGCAGAAAGGGGTCCAGCCCGCCGCTGGCGGAAGCCATCAGAAACCCCTATAGAGGATTTCTTAACTTCTTTGCAATCCCATGTGTAAAGGACTACAAAACCCTCAGCACACCACAAGACATGTCCTGCAGAACCGAATGGGAATTCGATTTAAGTCGTAAAAAGCTTTCTAGAATCCACTTACGAAATCTGTGCACCTTGGAAAACACAAACCTTGCCGTCTCCCGCTCTCCATTGGTTCTTTAGAGGCCCGCTCACTGCTGGAGAAGGCACGCCTACGAAACCCGGGCAGTGACCTCGGCACAGCAGGAGGTTTACGAGGGTGCTGCATGGTCTTTCGATGCGCTTGAAGCACCCCCACATCTTGCTGAAACAGCCCCTCTCTTACGAGCCCGTTCTTAATCCTGCTTGTTCAGCTACCTGGTCCTCCATTCAGGGCTCATGATGGTTTGTGCTCGAGGCCGCTGCATGAGAAGAAATCTGCACCCAACTCTGAAGCCTTCAAACCCAAGCCCAAGGTCTGCAATCTTACCCTTAGGCTGCATCATAGCCTGAAGCCAAGCCCAAACCCTCGAAGCCGAGAAGTCCAAAAGCCCGACGAGGTGCAGATCTGCTTTGGCTGAAGGGCGTCGAGGCCCTTGGATGCCAAAGGAATGCACCTTTCCCCCCCGGAGTTTGCCCCGTATGATTTTCTAAGAAGCAGAGCCGTCATGCAGCTGTCACTTGCTCCCTCTTGAAAGCACAGCCTCTACACACGGGTACCACGAAAGGCTGCCGTCCTCAAGGGTTTGGCGAGTGTCGTCGAAGACAGTGGGTTTTTTCCACGGAGCTGTTTAGTGGCGATGGCCCTCTCCGCAAGTTTGGCTCAGAATTTGTGCTGAGCCAGCAGCCTTGGGTACGCGGCATGTCGAATACCACAGAGACCGTTAACGGCTTGGAGTTCGAGCTGGGGGCCCCTTGGATGAGGTGTGCTGATTCCCCCCGGTGCGGAATCCTAGCATTGAAACACTATTCGGAAGATGAGGCGTTTCGGGGTGTCTGCATTTTGGGAGTGATCATCTTATGTCGTCCTGCGTGCATCTGGCCATGGCGTTATGTTGTGATGGTTACGGTCGACGCAGCTAGAAAGGCCCACGCCCTGCACCCCAAAATTCAGGAACGCACTCTTGGAGAGACGTTGTCGTTCCTTCTGGTCGCGGCGGTGACATGCACGGTGCTTGAGCATCTGAGCCTCTGCCTGCTAGTACTCGTGGTTTGAGACTCAGGGTCAAGGGCTTAGGGCCTAATAGAGTCGGGGGGCCTTGGCACTGTACATAGGCTAGTTTGGGGAAAGTGTTTAGGAAGACTGTTTAGGTCTGTAGGTGGTTGAGGTTCTGCTCCGTCTTACACGACTGAGGGTTTGTGGTGTCTGGTCTCGGGCTTTCGGGGCTCAGTAATGCATATCCTTTCCATAGAGATCATGTAGCTGTAGCAGCGGTAGCATGCTATAGCCTGCAGACATGATTCCAAAGCGTTAGATGGCGCAGAGTCACTATTGAGACCGTTGATAGTATCGAGTCTTAGGGACAACACCCAAATGTAGGTTTGAGACCCGCGCACAAAATCCTACCCTTTCCCTCCGCACTTCTTTGACCCAAGAAGCTTGTGCCCACTTACATCCCGAAGACCTCAGCCATAAAGCGCCGCCCAGCTGTAACCTTTCAGGCCCGGAAACGACTTCCGAAATGCAAAGTGCAAGAGCCACTCGCTAGTCCCTGAGGCAGGCATTAAGTTTTGCCCTGGACTTGGCCGCTGCCTCACCGAGGAACTCAAAATTGCCCTCCTGCATCCGACTTCCCATCTCCGTCGTCCTCTTCGTGTCGGGACTACTCATAGGAGCTACAGCTCATGTTTTGGATGACAGGCCCCTCTAATAGGTCGTCAAGTCGAACACTCACATCAGCTTTTGTTCGGGTCTTCTCCTTCAGTTTCGACACTTAGAATAGGGCACCGTTGTATTTATGGAATTCTTGGGCAACCTGGCCTTATGTAGCCGCACGGGGGTGCTATTCCGGCTCCTCTCAGGGTCTTGATTGAGGAACCATGTTCCTTTGGTTCTATCAGTAGGGTAGTCTCGAAAGTGTAAAGGACCGTAACATCGACCCTAAACAAGTCACAGTACCGCAAGAGAATCCCTCGGCAGTACAGCTTCAGAATTGAGAGTTATTCGCCGGAGCTCTCGCTGTGTAGTTTCACTCGGGGTTGCGATCCGGATGGAACAGTTCACGGAAGAGGCTGCGAAAGGGAACCCGCCGAGAAATCCATCTAACACAGTCCGAGACTGCCTCCCCAGCCCGAGCTCGAGGAATCGACCCCGCTGTGGCTCGTGGGATTTGGGGCCGGAGGTTATTCAGGTTATTGGCAGTTTTCAGGGTCTTGCAGTCTAGCATCATCTTTGAGCGAGCCCTCCAGAGAGGAATACTGGTGATGGACTTCTTGGCCGAGAGAGTCGCGAGGTGGCACTTTGCGATACTTTTTTATGAGGTTTAGGGCTTTATAGTGTCGTCTAAACTGCTTAGGGATATTCTCAAATCCCCATTTTGTCTTATAGAGGTGCCTGTTCGTTTTGTCCGCGCCCTGAGTCTACAACCCAGGTTAAGGAATCCTTTGTTACGGAGCTGGTGGACGGAGTCTTGCCACTTGACTTTCCCCGGCAAGGCACCCGAACTTCAAACTTCCAGCTGCCACACGCGAAAGAATGCACGCTACTGCAGGGCAAGTGTACATAGTCCAAACCGTAACCTTTTCAACACGGCTAGACGTAGTCTTCGCAGTCTTCACCACCAAGTATTCCACCCTGAGCACAGTCGGAGGGGCGCTGCAACCGAGAATCCGAAATCTCGCCAAGTGGATCTCTTGCAGCTTCTTTCCACGTTCTGGGCCCAGTCTGATACCCTAAAGCCGAGGGAAGAAAGTATAGTGGCTACCAGGATCGTCAATTCCAGCTTGAATCCCGTGTTGGGGCCAAAATTTGGTTCAAAAGACTCATGGAGAAGTCCTACCGTGTCCAGGGACATCGGATTGAGAGGGGACTAACCTCCGGCAAGCACAGTGACTCATGCAGTACGCTTTTGGATTGCAGTGTCCCGTGGCGTTATGAATTCTCATTCGTAACAGCATCCCCCGCGTCAGGCACAGACACTAAGCCCCGAAGCTCGTGGTCTGGAACGTTCTAAGGCAGGCCGGTTGGTTTGAGCCCCATGCGCTCTTTTTCATCCTGCTGCCTCCGCTCCTCTTCGAGAGCTCCAGCAACATGTCCTGGCACGTGCTCAAGAAAGTTCTGGCGTCTCGGCAGAGTGGCGAGTTTGCGAAAGACACGCGACAAGATTGCCCACCTCTAGTCTCAATAGGTGTGGTGACAGTTTCGTTTTTGAGCGTCCATTTTTGAGCTTTCAACTGTTCTTCGCGGTGGAGAGAGATGGAGGCAGTGCGGATGAGGCATTTCAACACTGACTCCCAAGTTGCCAATCCCGGCATTACCTTCACTATGTGTTCTCGGCAGGCTGTACGACATGATTTCTTTTAACAAGAACACCTTTCCAGTTTTGTCAATGCCTGAAACTAGGGCGGCAAAGAGAACATATTTCCGGATGCCAGAGTCTTCTCGGGTGTTTCCTATTGCAGGTCTGTAGAGGAACCCATGAACCCCAGACCCCCGGAGCATGAAGGCCTGAGTTTCAGGCAATTTAGGCTTCATCGGGAACTCTCTAGATATATTGTACCAATAGGATTCTCAACATCACATGCTAAGTCTGGAGAAACCCTGAAGCTGAACCCTCCCATGACAATAGCTACATGGCATTTCTCAGGTGTCTTCTTACCTCTTGGCCTGGCCTGGTGTCTTAGTGAACACCCTCCTCACCGGCAGCGCTGTGCGAGCGACCTTTGGCAAGATGCTAACATGTGCTAACATTAATACTAACATAGTGGGTACTAAAACATCAGGGGTCCGGGTTCTGGGTTCTGATAAGACCCCTCCTTCTGAATTCGAGGTCTCATGTTTCCTGGAATTCAGAGAGCTCAGCTTAGCGTCTTTCCCGAAGCCATACATCGCAGTGCAAACCAGACGAAATAAGAGGAGTGAAGTGAGCACCCCAAACCCTAAACCTTGCATAGCACCTCATCCCTAAGTCCGACACATAGAGCCCCTAAACCGTAAAAGGAACCTCCAGCTCCTCGGTCCAGAAATCTGGTGCTCTGCTGAGGATTGTGCAAGTGAATCATGCGCCGCCCTCCTGGGAGGCGTCCTTCCTGCTAGGCGCCTGGCGGACTTTCCACTGGGTTGGCTCTTTTTTAGGGGGACCTAAGCTAAGCTACCATGGTGCCATGTCAAGAAAAGGCATGTTAGTTGCTTCAGCAATGGATCACTTGCGAAGTTCCTGAGGAGGGGCCCAGTCTAACACCCAGGAGCGTGACTAGCCTTCAACTTCTTGGCCCTTTCTCGTTTCGTGCATTGGTTGACATGTTTCATGCAGCCGTTATGCAAGCTTTAGGGCTTTTTTCTCCGCTGTTAAGAGCTAGGGCTTAGGGAAGTCAGGATCCCAAACAGGTTGAAGAAGATTGAAAGTAGACGCCTCTTCTGTTGGGAAACTCCCCACTTGGCCCCTGTGAGGTATGAGTATACACGCGACTGCTGCTGGAGATTTCACTTTTGCTTCTGAGAGTGGTTGCTGTCACATCCCTTTGGGTTGTGTGCATGGGCCCCTGAAAGAGCTTGCTCCATCTTGACGATTTCCAACCCTAGAGTCGTGACCTCAAAACCACGCGCAATTGTGGACCTTCAGGAGTAGTGCTGGATTAATGGAGACCACTGGTACAAGGACCGCACAAACAACATGCTCATTTATCTTTTTGACGGGACGGAAGCGCAGATGTGGGGGGTGACACAATCAGAGGTCTACCTTGTAGGCTTTGCTGGGGTCCTCGAGGATTGCTTCCCTCATTGGGATTTGAAAGAATCCCTTATGGAGCTTCGGGCACTTTAGGGTTGTGCACAGTATTGTTTACAATCTATGTGTTGGTCTACATCGTGGTTGTGTTTCACGGTCCTCCTTGATCATTCTTTTAGTTCGTCATGTCATGGACACCGTAAATAGCACTGTGCTGCCTACTCGGTGTGTTTTGCCGCTGCTGTTTCCATGAGGATGATGCTGAGTCTTTCCGAAGAGTCAGGCGAAATAAAGCTAAAATGGCATATCAAAACATGAGAATACTTTAGTTCCTCTGATCGCGCGTCGGGCAGTAATTCTGGAAATGTTGTGCAGGAGATTAGACTTGTCCTAACTAGAGCTTCAAGAGCCCTCAACCCAATGCGAGAACGCCGCCTACAAGAAGCGCTAAATGCGAAGCCCTAAACTCAAGACCCGAAACCTGGAACAGAAAACCTAGCAACCCTAAAACCCCAAAGGCCAAGAACTAAAACCCCAAACCCCTAATACCAGCACCCCAAGCCTCAACGAAGAGGTGCCATCCTCTCAGCTACCGATCCGGTGGCGGTCGTGGCGGCCCTCAAGTGATCTCGGCTTTCTTTGTCTTGGATGAGCGAAAATGTTTTTGGTGTTTTGAGGGTCTGGGCTTCCGGTTTTGGGTTTAGGGGTTTAGGGTTTCGTGAGTTTGGGATTTAAGTTTCGGGGTGGACTTGTTCAGAAAAGGAGTCGTCAGTTGGAGAAACACTGATACAACTCTATTATGAAATACCGTACTCAGGGTTTGCCTGAGGGCCGAGCTTTCGTCATTAGTGCACGGCTATAAATTTGACATGCGACCTCCACCTAGCCAATGTCGAACGCAAAGTGCACCAGGCGGCCATAAGACACACGCTATGTGCCTGTGTCCGTGCTTCCCGACACGTCCTCAATAAGCGGTCATGCAAAATCAAGTTTTCCGGCACAGCTGTTCTCTTTGAAAGCTGTCAAAACATGCTTTTATCTTCTTGTGATCACGCACTAGTTTTTTGTAATGATCCTTAAGCGACGGTGATAAAAGCGATGATAACTTGGCTTCACTATGCTCCACCTGAAACCCTCAACATCCTCAGAAGCCAGGACCTTGGGGGCTCCGGCCAAGCTGAGCACCTTGGTGGACGGAGAGCTCCTGGGCTTAGCAGTGGCTCTGGATTTCAAGGGGTCCCTGGCTCCGGCTTCGTCTTGACATCGCGGTCCAGAAATCGAAGGCAAAGACTGATATAGCAAGAGCCCGACGAAGATGACGAGGAGGAGGATGAGGATGGTGGTCGCTGTGGTTTTCGACATCGCCCATCGCCGGTGACAGTACCGTCGTTCACCATCACGAGCTGCGCAAGCACCACCACCACCACCAACAGCGCAATCACATCCCGCGCACACAGACACACCCCATACGGACCGACTACTGCCCACACAAGCAGCACTGGGACAGTCATCATCATCATCATCATCATCATCATCATCCTTGTGGTTGACCGTCATCACCTTTAAACTCGTTTCGGAACTCGGCTACACGAGGGCTTCATACCCTTGCCGCCCTTGTGTTCATGCTCATGTTACCGCTTCGTCCTGACAGACTCGAAACAGGCACGCCGCATTTCTGGCTTCTACACGGAGCAAAACTTTTGATTTTGTCTTATGGTGCACCAAGTTCGCTCCTCCGCCTTCTGCCTTCCGCCTTCTTTCTTCCAGACAGTTGGAAAATCTTGGAAGTTCAAGCGGTAGGCAACTAGAAGTCGTAGCTTGGGAGGTGCTAGGCCAACAGGCGCCAAGCCTCGGAAGTCTTTAGGGTTCACAGCAGGGGTTGGGGTACAGAGCAGGACTTGAGGGACATCCAGAAATTGCAGTCAAGTTTAGGGTTATCCTTGATGGCCATCACTCCCATTGCAATGCAAAGGAGCTTGGTGAACGACGGCTCAGCAGTGGTGGTGACCTATGTTTTCATGGAGCCCCTCGGCTTCAGTCCAGCTTCAGGACACGGTCTAGGGTGCGGACTTCTGTTTGGGTTCCTGAAGCTCGTTTGGATGTCTTGGCCTCCAGCATAGAGCCCATACATCCCTTCATGTGTATCTACTGCTTGTAGTGTTCTGGCCAACTGAGCTTTCAGGCCGGGCGCTCTGAGGTTTTGGGCGCGACGAAGCACGGAATCCTGAGGTCCCCAGCCCACAAGCATGCCATTTAGATATATATATATATATATATATATATATTTATATATATATATATAATGCCCCCATTTGCACTAACGTTTTGCACCATATTACTTACTATGACTATGATCGTAGACACTATGACGAGATGGCTATGAAGATACTCACCCTTCCAAGACGCTCCCTTCGTAAGGACCACAATAATATGAGCTCTACATGACTGGTTTGCTCACACGTACTGAAAGCAGAAATACGAACTGCATTTTCTACCCAGCTACAAGAGACCTTCAACAAACGCGGCAATCGTAATCTTGTTCCTCAGCCTGCACTTTTCGGGGTCATCAACTTGTGCTCAGCGACGTGTATCTCTTTCACTACACAGAAAAAGTCAAGACTCGGCTTCAAGGCAGGTTGCAAACAAGCAACACGCACCTCTTATCCAGAAGCCAACGCATCGGTGTTAGACTGTGGGCTTGGGTTTGGACTACAGCCCCGTAAGACCGAGACACTCGCAGCAAACCTATTACCCTATCAGTTAAGAACCCTATTCGCAAAAGCGGGAGAAGAAGACCAGTGCTGTCGCCTTACACCGTGGGCACGAGAGCCAGTTCCCAAAAACGCGCTGGCACCTGCATATTCCCGCCTTCGGGGTATCTGCACGTGGTCCAGCCGCATAGCCCCAAGGCTGACCATCGGAAAACGAATCCGTTCTTAGCCTCCTAGCCGGTGACCTTCCGCAGAAGTCCGGATGGCCCTGGGACGCCCAAACCCAAACAATCAAAGAAATGAATTGAAGCAAGTGTGTTAGAAGGTGGGTCATGGGTTCGCTGGCGCCCGCCTCTGAGAAGCACCTTTCCTCAACTCTCCGGTTGGTTTTGGGAGTTTTTGACGCGTCAGGGGAGTGGCGATTGAAAGCATTCGATGTTTTAGGAATTGGATACTGACGTGTCCGGTTGTCAACTTGGATTGTCACGTTGTCCGAGATGTTGTTTCGCGAGCACTGATACTGGGCTTTGAGGTGTATGACTCACTGCGGTTGGGTAGGCAGTGAGATTGATATTTTTTCTTCTTGCAACTTAGTTCTTCTGATACAAGTGTACATACCTCATCAAACGCACTGGTTGTACGTCTGCGCAGGGGCAGGTAGAGCTCAACTGCAGGCCATCCGCGAGCTGATCAGCGGGAAACTCCGAACTGAAAGCTTCAAATCTCGCATCAGAATCTAGTATAGTGGAGGAGCATAATCTAGAAACGCAGTCCAGTTGCAGATACGTGCAATATACTCTACGGAGTCTCGAACCGGTCAGAAGCCTTACAGACACCCTGCATGACGGGCAAAACTTACGGAGGTATTGCCCCACCTCGCCGCCGGCTGTTCCTTGCGCGCCATGTCCTGCAATGGAGGGCCTGCTTGTTAGCTTGAGAACTCGATAGCATGGATACAGAGAGAGAAAGAAAGCGAGCGAGCGAGCGGTGCAAAAAGAGCGAGGTGCACAGCAGAGAGAAGGTGGCAGAGCGGATTCAGGCCAGCACTGCGAAATAGCGAGCAACAAGCATTGCGCTTGGTGGCTAAGCAAAACGACGAATCATCCCCGACGCTTGCTTCCTTAGCCTTGCTGCCACGCCATTTTTTGGAGCGCCTTGGATTTGTAGGATTACTTCTGAGTTTACTAAGTCGTCCAGTTCGGACTCTTTGTCACAGCAGGCTGTTACATGTGCATCTCAGGTGGTGCAGTACTTTGTCCAAGTGGCTTGTGGCTCGGCCGATCCCAGAATTCGGCACGGGCAAAAACACCTCTTACAGCGACCATCATAGCAGCAGTTGTAACCATACCTTGAACACATACTCTGCATAATGCTGACAAGCTGAGAAATAAGGTGAGTTGCAGGTCAGGGCTTCTGCAAAATGCAAACATGATGCAATTTGAGCCCTTTGCTACGCACGTAGTCACGGGCAAGATGTGGCTGAGTGAGTGCCTGTTGAGTTGTTTGTTTGTTTACACCTACGCATCCAGGCAGTATGTGCAGTTGCATCTGTTTGTTATCAGATTTTTTTGTCTTAGCTTCCTGGACAAGATGATTTTGTTCCTGAACTACAGCCACTTCCCTCTCCAGAGTTCACAAGTCACACGCCTTGCACTGATGCGTCTTTTCTCTAGCACTGTTTCATTCCGGTCATGATAGACCTTCAGAGCTTGTCTTGTCTTACGCGGTTGTATCCTGAAACTGCTGAAGCCCATCACTCGGGTAGATGACGAGAGCCTCTTTTGCAATCAGTCTAATTGCACCCGGATCTCGAACGCCGACTTTGAAACCCCCAAATCACCAGATATAGAGCTTTCAGAAGATACGGGATCCTTGCATAGCACTCTAAACAATCCGATTCTCAATATAGAAAGCCGCGAAGGCAATCCCAAAACCTGAACTCTACCAAGCCGAAAGCCGAAACGACAAGGTGGTGGCACCCTCATTGGCATCGCAGCAGGGTGGATTCTTTATGCGTGGCTTCTGTCAGCCCCTCTGCTCCTTGAGACAGCAGGGTGTTAGGTTGAGAGGTCAAGGGCTGCAGGGTTACACTCGGGCTTAGGGCTCATGTCGGGTGTCGGGCTGCTGGCTGTTCGTGTTTTCTTCTGTTTAAGACGTCGGGATGCTTCTTTCCTGTGACGTCCACAATCGTTCATACAGCCCCTTCTTCTACTCCTGCAGGATGTTGTGTTTGTCGTCACTCTTCTAGTTCCAACTAGCGTCTTCTTCCGGTTGTGATTGTCATATGTATTGGTCTGCTGTGCACTTCGTTTCTGACTTCGCTTATCCTGGTGATGATGCTTGATGATGATGATGATGATGATGCTGGTGATGGTGATGGTGATGGTGGTGGTGATGATGGTGAGGAGCACTACGATGGCAGAGAGGAGGGTAGTACCTTGGTTATGCAGGTGAATGAGATGACGAAAAGTAGATGTACAAGAAAGCGATAGCGCTTAAATCATAAAAGTTAGGAGCGTGGCAATGAGCAGCAGTCAACTCTAGGATGCAGGTACTGGGCCTTGCGTACCTCAGCAGGAAGTAAAGACCATCCTGCAAGCCCCAAAGTATTGGCTTGTTGTCCTTGTAGCCATGTTCTGTGGGAGGTCTTAGACTTGGAAACCACAAATACCAGGCTCACGGCTCAAGCTTTCAGATGCGTGGCCTTAAAAAAACCCTTTGGGCTCCAAAGCCAGGTCCGCTCACAGCACGTCCTCATGCAGACAACCTCCATTCTGGCCGCCTGGCACGGTGCAGCGACGCCTGCCTGGCAGGAAAGGGAGAAGTCCTGATCGTCGCCGTTGTCGTGCTCTTGCAGGTGTTTCTGAGTTTGTCGTTACTGTCGGTGTTGCAGTGGCGTTTTCGATAAGTTAACAAGGTGCCAGGCAAAAGCTTGAAGGTCCTTCTGCCACACTCCCAAAAAGCGAAAGGTTCAGGTTTTGGGATCAAGGCCGACATTGCAAGGATCGGGGTAGACCCTTAAATGAAAGCTGAGCACAGGACCAGTCCAGAAGCTAAAGACTGCTTAGCTGCTCTTACACCACCTACACAACCAACTCTTAGGTGGAGCCGGTGGCAGCGATCGTGGTGTACAACACCCCGCCTTGAGATGGAAGCTTCATCCAGTAGAATTTCACTTCTTGCGCAATCCTACACCGAATGCGGTAAGGGAATAGCCCCATACTCTGCTGCAAGCATTTGGCTCCGTTGGCTAAACCCTAAACCGAAAAGCCCCAGGCCTTCAGGAACTCAAAATGTAAATCCAAGCCGCTCAGGTTGTGGTATACGCCACTTGCTTCATCGCCGAAGGCTCGGACCGCGGCTTGATAGGTTCAAGGCTCCAGGCGCATTGCTTCGGCACTTTACATGTGCCCAGTCTATGTATGGATGGATGTATGGGTGTAGATATGCATATACATATAATATATATATATATATATATATATATATACATATATATATATATATATGTATATGCATGCATGTATATGTGTATGTACATGCACATGTACATGCAGATGGGTGCATATTGTGGATACGGATATACGTGTGCGCATGCATATGCACATGTGTATATGCTCAGTTACTCAGTTCCGATATTGCCTGTATATGTAAACGTGCATAAACATAAATGCATGTGTATGTATACACATACATGTAGATATATGATGGTGTCTTCATATACCTATACATATATATGTATGCACACACAAGTGTGTAGATGTGTGTGTGCATATGTATATACATACATAAGTATGCATGTAAAAGTACGTCATACACACTTGCCGAAGCAATCTACAGATGCACACACGGGGCAGTTTGCTAGCCTATGGGTTTCGTGGAGTATCAGCTTCACCTAACAAGGCACACCTGATGCACTGTTGCAAGAGTCTCCCAGCCTGTTTTGGAAATCAACAAGAGGGACTCCAACTCACGAGGCTTGGAGACTTCTGGTGTCCTCGCCACCGTTTCCCTCGGCATCACATCGACGTTTACAGCGGCTCAGCTGCAGCTGGCAGCCAGAACGTGCCCTCGGGCCTGGATCCACAAAGGCTACAAGACCCTCAACACAAAGGCATGGAGCTAAAAGCCCCCCTATTCTCTAAACCTCGAGGTCAGCAAGGCAGTCGGCCACGAAGGGCGGCATGCCCACCACGTGGTCCTGAACCAGGGTCCGGGGCTTAGACTACGGGCTTCGGGTCGGCGGCTTTGGAATTTGAGGGGTTTGGACCCAGGGCTCTGTGTCCGAGTGTTTAGTCAGGTTTAGGGTTTAGGGTTTAGGGCTTAATCTTGACCCTTGATCGATAGACGACCGGTTATAAGGGCTTTTAACACGGATCCTTGTATTGAAGCCGTGAATGGAAGGGTTTGCTAATGAGGGATCTACATAATGCCGTCTTGTATGTACCAACAGGCGAACCTCCCTGCATGGAGTCCGCGTTCGTTGCAGTCACTCAAAACTAGGATACCGTTTCAGCACCCGGTCCGGTAAGCCAACGGCGACACGCGCGGGTCCCGCTCGACCTGCTTGCAACTAAGTTGCTTACCTCAGCAACCAGATCATCTTCTTCATCGCAGGCTGCATGGTTCCTGTGGTTTTGCCGTCTGTGTCTGAAGGAGATAGGGGTTGTTCTTCAGGATACACACAGATTGTTTCTGCTCCGTGCTAGAGCTCAGGCAGTCTTAGTAGTTACTCCATCGGTCATGAAGTTCGGATCGCTTCGTGGCTCCGATTTTCTGTGGCAACACAGATGCATCCAAAGATTTAGGTTCTTTTGCACAAAGCCTGCACGGCTTTTGCACCGTCATGCCCGTATAACCACCAAAACACGAAACCCAGAAAGACCCTGAGGCATCATCACCGCCCGGTTTATGTTCATCCAGAAGGAAACCGGTCACGACTTTCGATCTGGGATGGCCTGGGCGGAGCTTGCCATCATCTATGTCGTGGCGGGACTGCAGGAACCGAAACACCAGCTTCAACCCCGTCAACAGTGAACTAGGGTTAGCTGGCTGAGGGCTTCGGATTTTCCCGCGACCCTCAAGCTCAAGCCCCGTTGTAAACAGAAGAAGAGCAAAGTTATTTCACCAACAACAAACAGCATCTTCATAACCTAACGACTAACATCATGATCGTGATCCTCTCAACAGAGACAAACACGCTTGGTCCACACGGCCGAAGGCCGGTGCGTGCATTTGTTGTTCCGAGGCGTGTCAGAACCAGTTCCAAAACTTCCTCACATCCACAGACCCTTGAACCCCGGAACGAAAACAATCCCAAGTGCCCAGCGAGTCTTTCCTGAGCGGTACTTCTGTCAGTGGTAGGCTCGTGTATTCAGGAGCCCGGCGTACTTTCGAGCCCTAAACAAGCACCTACCAGGTCATTCACCTCAGCCGCGCCATCATGATTGCCCTTTTCTCGCCGGCATTGCGGCGGTAGCTTGGTGCCATGTATGGCGTTCAAGATCATCTCGGGGTGGTTTCTTAGAAAGCTGCCTTCTGGCTTCAAAGTACCGGCTAAACAGGCCATAGTTCAGAAAGGCACCCCATTCAGCAGACCGGCAGTAATGTTGCCCTTAACTCGAAAACGGGTTTCCGTCCATGTTGGGCTACATCATAAATTAACGGACCGCCCAAGTCCTGAAGATTCCACCAGACGGCTGAACCCCAAACCCTCGAATTGAAAGCCTCGAAAGCCGTAACAGGTGGGAGTCGCTTCGGCGCCTATCTTCGTAAGCACGTTACAGGAGTTTTGAGTACCCTGAGTCAGGAGACCCGATCCAAGCTGCCACGCCTGAACACAAGCGACAATCCCGTAAACACCTCAACATCTGACGCCGACCCGTGAACTATCTGGCTATGAGTTAGCTCGGTTGCAGCAACAGACAGCATCAAGTTCCGCGGGCTTTGGATGCGTGCTGTGTCAAGATGGGCACTCATAGAAACTAGTTGGTAAAACGTACAAGATCCAACACCCCACGCCCTTGATAACCTGATGAAAAGTAAAAAAACTCTGCCCTTCCGAGGTCAGAACATGCGGAAACTCACGGACTAGCCCACCTCACTTTCCGCACATGTTTCCTATAGCTGGAAACCGTAATCACACCAGCTCGTCCTTCGGCCCAGGTTGGGCTATGGGCTCAGCCTCAAGGCAGCGGCAGTGACTGCTTTCCAGCTAACACTGCTTTCTCCTGCTGCTCCTCCATCTGCTGCTGCTTGTACCGCTGCTGCGCCTCCTCTTCCTGCTGCTACTACGACACAACTACTGCTGTTCCTCCTCCTGCTGCTACATGTTGCAACATTCTATTGGCCGTGGTTCTGTGAAGTCTTTGGATGTGGGAAATGAAGCACGGCTCAGATCGGCTTCGGCTCACTCTGTTTCTTTTTGAAGTCCGAGTTTTTTGGTGGCGTGGGGCCCCTGGGCCCTGGCCTAGATGGCTTTTGACTAGTATAGGGGCCTTAATAGTTACCTATACTATTTTGGTGGTTCCTTATTATGATTCTCCTTATTATGATTCTAGTATGTAATATTATAATTCTAGTATGTATTATTATGATTTACGACATAGAAACGAGACTCCTGGAGGAGGGCATCATCCTGGTCGTGGGCGGCTTGCGGGGCGCTGTCGCCTTAGTCATGGGCCTGAAGCTTGGCAGCAGTAGCAGCACAATAAGTCACATGTGGCACTGGTAGCTGAGTGGGGAACTTTTCACCTTCTGGGGAATATGTGTATGTTACCCCCGAGAGTGAAAGCTGAACCTTCTCTAGGCCAGGGAACTCAGCAACTAGGTGGCGGACTGTGGCGGTGGTTGCCTTCACAGGGTCAGTCTTTCAGTTCAGCATATGCTAGTGCACTGGGGTAGAGGGAAGGGGGCTATTGAGTTGGGATTGGGATGACGGGTTTGGGGGCTGCCAGAAATTACACTGTTTCCAGGCGTTGCATCCAGGAGACTTTGAGGAGCACGCTTGAAAGCCCGATGAAGAAGCACCCAGCAAACTCACAATTCCAATCACCTCAACGCGTATACTCTTGAATCATGCCACAGCCCAAAACACTCTGAGGATTGTCTTGGACAACAAGTTCATCGACATCGAGACTTGCTTTTCACTTCAGAGCGGCCAGCGGCCCAAAATGTTGCAAAAATTAATGTAGGAACCTGATGAAGAAACCCTGGCCCTATAACCCCTATATATTAGTGTTCATATTAAGAACCCCAATAAAGGCCCAGGGTTTCTTAATCAGGTTCCTATGTTAGTTTATTCAATCTTCTTTGTGTGTTTTTGAGCAACTCATGGCGGCGGGCTTCATGCGGAAAGCCTGGTCCCAAAAGCCCCAGATCCACAGTTGCTTGGGGCCTGAATCCCTACTTCAAGAGGGCCTTCATAATCTTAGGGGTACTTAGAATATAACTTTTGCTAGGGGTCTAAGTTCAGTATAGTAATGTAGAATTAGAATAAGGTTTTGGGCTGGTATAAGTTGTCGGACTCCCGCAACAAGCCGACAGCCCTCTCAGATCACCCCGGGATTCGATGCTTTAGTCAGAGTCTCGTCGGATCAAGGCAGAAAGCCCCCCAACCGGAGCCAGAAACCCGAAAGAAAAAGCTCCGGAAGATGTAACTCACAAAGCCTCAGCGCCAAGAAAGGTGTGGTTCTCAGCATGTGGGCGGCAGTTCTGACTTATGTTACATCTGGATCCTCATTAGCATGGACCTCCGTCAAAACAGCTACATCTACAGGGAACCCGTAACCCGAAGTCCCACCCCGCCGCTTCATGCTTGGGTTCTAGAAGTTCACCGGGGGTTCAGCCGCTTAAGCTTGGAGTGAGGGTGTATGTGAAGATCCCGTCGGGTCTTAATGATCAACGAGTTTGGTAGTCTAGGGTTTGCGGTTTGGAGGGCCGAGAGCCAAGGAGACGAAGCAGATGATCGCCTTCCATATCTCTGGTATCGTTGTGTTGACACTCCTCATCAACGGAGTGGCCATTGAGACCATCTACAACAAACTGTGGCCAGGCTGTCAAAGTAAGGGAGCTGGTGGCCTACGTAAATTTGAGGAAGGCACACGGAGTGTAGTTCATGCAGACCTAACAAGCAAAACAACCCTCTAGATCTTGTGCCTCTACATCCTGCAGCCGACAATGAAATTCCGAGCACTGGGGCATGGAACGGCCCAGGCATGTTTACCCCGCGAATCCCTACAACACCATCTACTTGCGGAAGATGTTTTCCAAGATTGAGGAGCGGGGAATCTGCTGCAATGGGTTGGTTCTTGTCATGGAGGTTTTCCACTTGGGGTGACTTGTTCTCAGGACACCTTATGAACACGTGACCCTAAAAGCGACAGACTGTAGTGACTAGGTTTTGAATACTACTGGCATGTGTCCCTTGTTTGCAACAGGACCTCTCGCGTCAGACGGGGTCTTACCTCCTGAGCACGCAGCCATTCTTCGCGGATGTCAGGTGGCACGGGCTCCTGCGTTGTGTGCCTGCCTTGCAGCTTAGGGATGGACGGCTTCGGATACAGAGTTTGTGGTCAACGAAGCTGCTAAAGCGTTGAGACCGCTGCTTTCAGCTGCTAAAGCGGCTCTCACGTGGAGGCACTCTCCTGGAAAAGCATCAGAAGCAGTTGAAGAAAGCTCCCTGACACGACACTACCGGAGCTTCGGAATGAAGAGCCCATTTCATAAAGCCTTCCATCGTAGTATCCTCAAGCTACAGGCCCCTCGAGCTCGTTTCGGAGCTCTTGGCTCCATTTTTTCAACTGTGGACTGAGGTGCCCTGCTTCCATAGTATCAAGCTTGACGCCAACGGCATTCCTTCCTCCTATGCCATTGACAATGTCTCTGCTGTCATGGGAATCCTGGCAGTGGAGGCAGATGTACTCAGCCGCAATTTCGGAGGTTTCGAAAGTCAGGGCCTCTATTTTCTTACTTTATGTCGTAGCTTGGCGAAACCTGTTTCGACCCTAAACACGAAGACCCAATTCTAGCCAAGGTGAGCGGCGTGGTGACAACCATCGGCTCGAACTTCGAGAAGCGATGGCTAGAGAAGCGCGGCAGTTGCGCTAAAATTCTGGCGGACCTTATGCACAATACCAGTGGCAAGCTTCAGCGCAACGATTTCATGGACCATGTGGCTTACAGCTCGGAAGGAGTCTTACAGCAGGCGGACTACCGAATGTTGCCTTGCAACATCCCCTGGATATGGCATATAGGGTCCGTAGCTGGCGCTTTATAGAGTCGTGTTTGGGAGAGCCTTTCCTTTATATGCAGTTTCGATCCGTGCCACACAGCATGATGGCTTGTGCATAGGCGGCAGAGCTTGAGTGAGTCAACACATACGAGAACAGTTTTGCAAGATTATTCTGTAGCATCCTTACTAGTACTGTCACTGCTACTTGTTCTGCGGCCAATAGTGTTTGTACTATTACAACTCATGGACGTCAGTGGTCGCGATGACACTCGTACTGGTTTTTGGTTTGCTCATAGCCGCGGTAGTGGTCGGAGTAGCGGTAGTAGTAGTAGTAGTCGTCGTCGTCGTCGTCGTCGTCGTCCTCGTCGTCGTCGTCGTAGTCGTAGTC